TGTCATGAAACGTGGCAAATAAAGAATTTCTTACTACATATAGGCCAAAATGTATTCCGCTACATTTTTTTGGTCACATCGGGTAAATGGAGACCGAACATGCCAAGCTTAAAATTGCATGCACCCATGAAATTGCAAAAAACTACCATACCCAAAATTGCCCATGGGCAAAGCTTTTACTGTTCATCAGTTTAGGGTTAAGAGTGATTGACGGCTCTAGAGTTATTGCTCACATTCAGACGTTTGTGGTGATATGTGATGTGTGACACAATCATAATTTTTGCATGTAGGCACACCCGATGTGTGTTTTGGCGCTCCTAAAAAAAAAAAAAAAAAAAAAAAAAAAAAAAAAAAAAAAAAAAAAGGTATTTCCTGTTGGCTTAGGAGAAGAAAAGCTTTCATCACTTATTGGGAGCTGCATATGACCAGCTACCTACAAGTCTCTCTGTATATCCTATCACATATACAATTGTTTACTTTTTTTCCTTTGTATAATACATTGGGGGGGGTTAAAAAAAACTGGGGTAGACAGTTTTCCTATGGCGACCAATCCACTCCTCTCTTTAGTTTGCTCAGATAAGCTTTGGCAAGAAAGCTGAGAAGCTGATTGGTTGTCATGGGCAACTGCTCCAGATTTAGCTGTCCCAGTTTTTATGAATTCCCCTTATCAAGTTAATCTATTTTTGACACAAAAAAATAGCTTAACCCCTTCATGACTGAGCTTGTTTTTAGTTTCTGTTCGTAAATGACTGACACACTTTTGACATTTTTGCTGTGTGATTCTTCCACGTCAGTAATATACTTTCTTACAAAGTGCACCCACACATATTATATATTGTTTTTTAGAGGACAGATAGGGCTACATATTTATATCACATGTGTGTCTAACGCCTCACTTAGGACAAATAAAATATAAAAAAAGAGAAAAAAACGTTAAAAAAAACACTTTTTTCCCAGTTTTGATTTGTAGTATTTTTTTACAACACCAGCACAGCTAAAAAAATGCAATACATTCATTTATTTATCCCTTATTTTATTTATTTTTTTTACAAATTTTTTTTTTTTTACACTTTTCACTTTTTTTTAAACTTAAAAATTGTATTTTATTTATTTAATTATATCAGTCATTGTGAATTAATCTCACTGTTACTGCTTGATAAATTAATAAATTTTTGTTTTTTATCAGGCTGCTTCAAACTTCAGAACAGCCGATAATAAGTTAGTGACACTGATCCTGCAGCAGTTCAGGATTCAGCTGTTACTAAAGGTTTTCTGATTGTTGCAACAACGATCAGCAAACTGAAACATTCTTCTTCCAGGGATACATTATAGGAATAGACACATTATGTATCTATTCATGAAAGAAAAAAAAGCCAGTATAGCTTGAGAGAGGCATGTGTGTCCGCTTTGCTTTGACTCTCAGACACCCGATATTAAGGTATCGGGTGTCTGAAAAAGGTTAACCCTTTCATTAATGAATGCCTCTGTAGTAAGGGCATCTATTAATGAATGTTAAAAGCTGATTCTCAGCGTTTAACAGCCCTCTAAAGAAGCAAATAACTCGTCACGTACAGTGTACGTGACAAGTCATTTGGTCCCTTTGTGGCTGGACGTACAGTGTACGTCTCCCGTCACGAAGGGGTTAACTGTAAAAGCCAAGCTTGCTTTCATACCTGCATCATCCTCCTGAGTCTCACTATTGGTACTTAGTTATGCAAGCCCCAGTGACCAACAGGGAAGCTCAGGAAGGAGGAGGAGGCAGGGCTAAAATGGACTATTTTTCACATGTGGTTTTCACTGAAAGTACCCACTGCTAATGCAGTTATTCTAGTTACAGCTCTCAGATACTTCTGAAACTATTAAATAAAAAATTCAGTCAAAGGAGCTTTTAACTCAATAAACTTAACATTTTCAAGTAACATTGTTAACAATCCAAAGCATACTGAAAATTGACCCAATTACTTGGTGTTAAATTGAAAATATGATGCATAATACTTTTATCTGTAATTACAAAACATGGATCTCATTTTAGTGTAGTATTCTCTGTAACACATTGTTTGAAATTACACCCAATACCTAACTGAACTTCAGGCATTCGGAAATACTAGATTTACAGAAACAATTATGGCAATGTTAATAGGAAATGGCTTTTTTTAGAACACCTAATAACTGATCTTTCAAGAGTTTTGAGGACAAATGGAATTAGAAATGCTGTATAATGGACCAAAGTAAATGGAAACATTCATCTAAAAACATGCTTGTTTAATAGCTTTGCTTATATTACTGCCAAGTCGTCTGCCAATGCCATTTTAACTTCTCAAGTGGCTAAAAATTAAATCTCTCCAGAAATTTGTAAGTGGAATGTCTAAAGGCTAGAATCCGATTTATTGGATATGATGGTACTTTGTTATAGGAGCATTATATGGAAACCATTTATCATTGTAGAGAATGCCACTCATGTTGTGTCCTTGCGGTATAAATGCCAGATCTGAGATGTTTTGTATTTAAGCTACTGCTTGGCAGAGTCACACAAGTATTTAGCCATCCTCTATAATAATTTGGCACTCAGGGTAAATTTCCCTTTTAAAAATGCCATCCATAGTAAAGGCACCTAATTAAATTCTGAAGGGCATACACAGTTTTAAATAAGAACATACAGATGGTTATCAGCCAATATATGATCCATCCAATGACTGCAAATAAAAAATGTGTCGAGACAATGCTTTCACAAATTCTACCATTTTACTATAAAATCTATGAAGGATAACCCCCCCTAAAGTTATGCTCTAACCTTCAACCAACTTTATGTTTAGAAAAAATAAATAAAACTATAAATTTACCAGATAAACTATATACATCTTTTCTGCGATAGTTTAAAATTATAATCAAACCTATCAAGCAGCTGACACTCAAAATGTGAAACTCCCAATAATACCAATAAAAACAAAATGTGCAGTGCTCGGTTTACAAGAGGAATACAGCAAAATGCCCCCAATCCAACAATGTGATAAAAATGTTTGCAATATAAACAATATTTATATTGCATATTTTTTTATCACATTGTTGGATTCAGGGATAAACTGATTTTTGTGCTTTATTCACTTTGTAAATGGAGTGCTGCACCATTTTGTTTTTATAGTTGTTATAATTTAGCAGAAATGACGACTTTACAATGGCATCCATCATTTATGTCCCATTTATTAAACGCAAAAAAATTTTTTAGATCATAAATCTATTTGTGGATTTACTAAAGGTAAAAATCAGTGGCTCGTGATTTAAAAAAAAAAAAATGGAGCAAAGGAAAATTCAGACATAGCCCATTGCAACCAGTATATGCGTTTATGCAATTTTAATTTGATAGATTTAAAGATTGATTGCTATGAATTTAAAAGTGGACCTTAGCTAAAAATCCAAACTTTGCAAACAGGGATTTTTTTTTAAATTGCACGAGACACATACTAGGTCTCTTTTGCAATAAATAATTCATACCCTCCCTCCTCTTACATGCTTACATGTCAGGCAATGCTGTGCATGTGCAGTTCAGTGTACAACCCCAGCATTTGCTGGGTATCAGAATGTTTAAACTTCAATTCGCAGGGGTTATGTTATTCTGGCCTGGCCAATTAAGGATGGCCGAAGATCTTGAACCCAGAAAAAGCTGGAGAGCAGATGTCAGCACCAGCAGGAGAGCTCACAGACATTGCAACTGTAACGGAGGAGAGTATACTTCAGCACAAAAAGAAAAAAAAGTACCTTGTAAGAGAAGTGGAATAAAATATAAAAGTTTATAGACAAAGAATCAGGTATGTGCTCTGGATGCCTGGATCTCCCGCTTCAGCGCCATGATACCATCAGCGGACAAGAAGTAGGCACGAGCAGTGGAACAGGCAAGTATTTTCTGCTGGAGCGGGCAGGGGGACTAGCCTCAGGCACCCACACACAACTGCTAGATATTGGGAGAAAATTAATTGAGCAATTCAATAAACTCACAGCCTTTCTAACCTCTTCTCCCCCCACTTTGTTAACAAACCCAAAAGGTACAGGGAAAATGAATAATCATGCTTGTTTTAAGAATTGAGCTAGAATTCTTACTTAGATGATTATCCGGTAGCATTTAGATACTTTTAAAGCAGAAATCCAGAACATTCCTGGGGTGGCCAACCCACTTCCAAACCTCTGTATTGGCCAGTTAAACCATTCATAATAGCGAGTCCCTGGAGACCAAAGGGATTTGCGCATTCCAATATCGATATGACCATATTTGGCCCAGTGCATCGTCCAGAATCCTCGGGGTTGTTTACATTACAGTAGTACTGGGTATTTGTCATGTAGCAATGTCATCAGGCGGTGGGGCAACATTGTTGTTGGATTGCTGTGATTGAAAATGAAGTGACATTGTGGCAAAGCACCATTTGGACCCCCCCTCCCCTCCCCCGCAAGGCACCTTGTCTCAATGTTTATGTAACAAAGGTGTTTTCCCCACATCCAGTGCCCCAACAGGGGGATAGACAATGTGATTAACTATGGATTTACACAGGGGGAACATTACTTTTTCTGGCAATAAAGGACTTTCAGGGTGTTTATTACTTTTAACTGTTTGTGGGAATAGGTAAGGGCATACCAATGCTACTGTATCAATCCCTGGGCAGGGGATGGGGAGAGAGAATCACAAATATGAGTGTTACCTTATTATAAAAGGTAGCTTTTAGAATGCTATAAAGTACTCCCCTCCCTATCAGATACAGAGCAGATGTGAGGAAGAGGGCATTGTCCCTCAACATTGGGACAGATTGCTTGGCAAGAAGGGTGGAGTAGCCCCTGTAGTGTTGAAATTCATGAGGCCTGGTCTATTTTAGGACGGGGAAGTCGCACGCTTGCTGCCCTCTCTTTCCTGGTCGCCCAGGAAGCAGCAAACCAATAGCACGATGCTCATGAACTAAAACTAAAAGAAAATACAATAGTCAAAAGCTGTAAATGCACATAAATCTAAACATATTTACCTTTTGACATTTAGCAGTGCCCAAGGAATTCCTGTTGGAGTATTGAAAGCAGGCAGTAGTTTCTCTCCCAGTTCCACTGCTTTTCTTCTGAAGATCTATAAAAAAGGTTAAAAAAAAGAAGTGTAAGTGGCATTTTGGAAAAAAAAAAAAAAAGTTACACCAACAAGACTTCAAGATTTAAATACTTGTTCACACCAAATCGGGACCAGATCAGCACGAGTTTCTGTATATGCAGTGTGTTTTGCTGCGTTCTGGTCTTTTTTGCCTAAAATGGGGTTTCAGTGCGTTCCAGAGCACAAAAAAATAGGGCATGCTGCAATTTTTCCACATGCTGTGGAACTGAACGCTGTGGTGTGAATTAGAGCCCAAAATACCATTGGATGCATTTTTGATTCGTTGTGTAACTGCTCTGCTCCATACTTGGTCTGAACAAGCCCTAAAATGGGAGCTACAGACACATTTTTGGATCTTTGGAGTTGAGAAGAGTTAAATGTGTTTTCACTGGTGTTCATGTCCCCCATGGACAAATCTACCTGGTCTTCCTCTTCCAATGATTACCATCAGGGCAGTAATTGAAGTGAAAGCTCCCAAAAAGGGCATAGGAAAAAAAAAAAAAAAACACATTTCAACATCCATAATTATAATCATTGGAGGGTGATCGATACCAATGATGTAGCATTCCAATGCACTATGCTGCTTAATAACAAAGTGATTTCTAAATAAGTAATCACTTTTAAAAATCTTGCACAACAAAGCCAAGCATAATATAGTTCCTGCTAGTCAATGAGATTGATACGATTTCTTGACAGATTCCCATATCACCAATAACACGTAGCCAATTACATTATTAAGATTGATAAGGTAAGTATAAATCAGAGTTGTATAGCAAGCAAACTAGATTATTACTTGATTAACTTTCTCTGCTCATGGATGGATACAGGCTATCTAATGAAACCCAGTAAGTAGAATGTGAGCATTTAAACATTTAAAAGATGAGCTCTGCCTGCACATGGAATAGTACAGAAATATCTGTTCAAAGTTAAATGTCTAAAGTGGAACTAAAGATTTTGGATAAAGTGGTGAGAACCTCTGTCAAGTTTTTGTCTGTGTTGCCACTGGGGAAATTCAAATCGAATTGCCCTGATCACCAATGTCATGGGAAGTGAAAGTAAGGGCAACAATTTTGAGTTGCCACCAGAACAGGAATAGAGGGGAACTCTTCCAACAGAGACACTTGCCACCGTGACAACTGTCCTTAAGGGGACACAGATCACAAATAAAAACAAACCACCACAACAGCAGTTTTGACCCTCCCCTACTCTAGTTGTATGTATGTTGTAACCCAGGGGTGCCCACAATTGTTTGTGTTAAGATCTACTTTTCAAATGACGAGCTACATGAGATCTACCAACAAAAAAAAAAACCTCCCTCGCTCTGCCTCTCCTGGCTCATCCTCCTTGCTCTCTCTCCTGGCTGTCATTCTTTTTCTCTCCCGGCTGTCTCTCCTCGCTCACCTTGCTGTATTTTGCAAACAGTAACACTTCAACCACCAGTATCCACCAGAAACATGTCAGGGAGCTTGGCTCAGCAGACTCAGGCTAATAGGTAATCGTTTGTGCACAGCTAAATAAATATACCAAAATGGAATAAAGGGGCCACCATTCACACCCTTCGTGATCTACCAGCATCAGCTTTGAGAGCTACTGGTAGATCACGATCTACCTAATGGGCACCCCTGTTGTAACCTATCCGTCCTTAAAAAGGCAAGATGGGTCTCACCTAAACCCCACTTCATGCTGGCACCTCTTTGTGGGCATCTGAGATACAAATGGTCCAGTGCAGACAGTGGCACTTTGATAAATGTACCCCTTGCACAATACCTTGCTGATGCTGAAATGTATGTAGGCTGATATTAGCATGTTAGGGAGCCCTCAATTACTGGGGATACAAATTTGAAATCTTGGTGCTGTAAACCGGTAGCCTTGTAAGTGGGTGCCCTAAACAACGTTAGCATCTTTATGTTATTTTTTTAACCAAGTTTATAAAATTACAAGGGAAGAATCCCACTCTTTAAAACCTGAAACATACACCTCAGGTGAAGAAAAATAAATAAATATTTAATACATTTTTGTAATACATTTTTTATACTCTTTAAAGGATCTACAAGTACAGGAAATTATCTGATGAACTGGCAGAAAAGCATTAATTTCCTGCGGTGGGCTGAAATAGGACTGAAATTGCAAGAAATGTCCACCTTGTCTAGTTTTCTTTTGCTAAACTACTGAATCCCCCTCACCTCCACAACAAAAAGGATTATTCTGTAGTTTAAAATAAGAACTGGTCATTTGGCTTGCGATAAACTCAAGTGCAAAGCACAGCTCTGAATTTCCAACACTATCAAAAGGTATTTTTGTGCATCAAACAGAGTAAAAAAAATACTTTTAATGGCATATTGAGCAGACTAAAAGAGAACACATATGAGAAGTTTCTTTGTAAGGGTGGTTTAAATACACTTTAAAAGTACTACTTTTAGCATATGTTGTCTGATCGAGCAGGTGTAGGCAACATTGGCACTCTAACTGTGCTGCAACTATGAATCCCATCATGCCTCTGCAAGTAACGTCTGTGGTTGTAATGCCCTTTGGGATTTTTTTTTTGTTTCACCACAGCTGGAGTGCTGAGGTTGCCTACCCCTGTGGAAGAGCACCATGATGTATTAAGCCCAAGGCGAGAAATCTACACAAGTACTGAAGGTAGTTGTACTTTGAATATTTCAGGAACCATAAGCTGTCTAATGGTTTATTTACTACTTGCATGAAAGAGTAGTAACATGATTAACATATAAAACATGTTAACTATGTATTTCCTGATGGGCCCAAAGCAAAGAATATTTTTACCTGTGCTGTACAGCTGCAACAACTAATCGATAGTCGATAATTAGAATAGTTGTCAACGATTCTCATTATCGATTTGTTGATTCAGCACCCAAACGCTCAGCAGACCCACCCCTGCCACCGCCTCAGCGCTGCTAAGCCACAACCCTCCCACGCCTCAAGTCTGTGCAGCTACTGCCCTCCCAGCCGCAGCGTCCGTCACTGGAGATTTCTTTGAGAGATATCAGAGAGGGGGCGGGTCAGGACACGGCGCTGCTGGATGATAGGAGAGGCTCAGAAGCAGCGAGTGTGTGGGTGTGTGCAATAGCCAGTCCGCTATTGCAGTTTGAAATAGCCAATAGCAGGCTGGCTATTGCACCCGCCCACTGCCTGCCGTCAGCTGAAGAGGACCTGAAGGAGAACTTTCTACTTTAGGTCCCTCCTCTGCCTCTGACAGCAGGCAGTGGGTGGGTGCAATAGCCAGCCTGCTACTGGCTATTTCAAATTGCAATAGCCAATGGAAGACTGGTTATTGCACACACCCACTGCCTGCTGTGTTTACATTCCCTGGCTGAAGTTGTTCAAGCCATGTATGCTTGAACAGCTCCTTTGAAGTGGAAAGGTGACCCCAGACCCCTGTCACCTTAAAGAGAACCTGTCACTTCCAATGCAATCACATAGAGGGCTTGTGCACGTCGCATTGTTTTTTGTTGTTTTGTTTTTGTTTGCTGTAAGGTCATATTTTTCCTTTTATAGCCTTTTTTCTTTCAGTGCATTGTGTTGACACGCGTTTGCGCACATTGCGTTATGTTGAAGTAGAGCATGCTTTAATTTTTTAGCACAGCTAAATGCAATGCACTGGTGTGAACTGGTCTCATTAAATGTCATTGTTTTTGAGTGCTATGCGTTGGGAATGCAGTCATGAACACATCCCAACACATATGATGTGAATGGACCCTTACTGCTGTAATCGTAATGCAGTAAGTAAAGAACTATAATTACAGGTGCATCTTACTACATACTGTATGTACTCCACAGGAGTCCTATAGGAAAAACAAATCAGGTTTGCAATAGATAAAGAAAGGAGTAAAAATAAGCAGTGACAATATTCCTATGCATACAAACAATGCAGAGAAAAGGTCATCAGTATTTAGTCTGTATCACAGCAGACAGCAGCTGCCTCTTCAATGAACAATCCATGAATCCGCTGGTAATCGCAAGAATCTTATCACGCACCCTCTTGCTAAGCTTCAAGCATCTGGTTCCCAATTTTCCGATTACATTTAGTACTGTGTATAGAACAAAAACCACAGCAGCAAACAGTCATTATATTAATGTGTGCTGAGGTATGAACAGAGCAGGTAGCTCTTTGCATATAAACTATCTTATGAAACCGACTCCTCTGGCGCACCGACTTGCTGTAGGCTGCTGGAGAGAAAAATAGGTGCTGGAAAGAGAAACCGCAATTAGATGCTCATCACAGAAAACAGTGAACGCAGAAGGCTCATTCTTAGGCTCATAAATTTGACTATCTTTTAATTCTAAAGCCATTTAGTGACTTGATGTCATGACACACTCTGCAAATTGCTTCTTAACCACTGTGGCAGACACATAAAGGCAGGTACCAATTGGGGTGACGAGAACTAAACAATAGCTCCCACCTGCGCAGTTAATGGCATTTAAAATGCACCAAGAGCTACTTATTTAAAAAAAATTAAATTACAAAGTGAATTGTTTAGGTTGCTGTTTAAATAGAGATGAACCCATTCGCTATCTGAATACAGGATATGTACATAGTGTTGCACTATATCGAATTAGAAAGCAGGGAGGGGAATATAGCTGCCTCCTGTGCAATGACTTCTACTACTCGACTCAGCTGCAGGATTTTCCATCTTTTCAGATAAAAGTCTTGTCTTGACTAAACTTGGGTCTCCTGCACAGGGGCAGAAAAAACACCTCTGAAGGTAATCTGTTTTAGCCAAGGTGTCCCTACAGACAATTTACATGTAAATGCGCGAGTATGCACATTATTTAATTTGAATGGCTAGAATATTAATTTATTTCTAGCAAAAAATAGAATGTGTTTACATGGATGTAATTACACACCCTAAAACATGCATTGTTTGCCCTTTCACACCTTCCTGGTAAATTTTCATTTCAAACTTCATCAGCAAAGACTTCCAGAGCCCAATGTGTTCGTTTCCGACAGTAGGAGCTCTATG